TTCCATATGCTTGGTTCTGTTGTGGAGGATAGGATTATGAGCAAGAGTGACAGTGCTCAAGTTATCACACAGGATCCTAGGCACCTGACAGGAGCAGTGAAGTTCCTGAAGTAAAGACTGAATCCAAATGAGCTCAGCAGCCAATTGAGTCATGCTGCGGTACTCTGCTTCAGCACTGGATCTAGCAACAAGCTGTTGCTTCTTGGACCACCAGGAAACAACATTTGGACCAAGATAGATACAGGCCCCTGAAGTGGACCTCCTGTCATCAGGATCTGATGCCCAATCTGCATCACAGAATCCTAATAATTGCATAGGCTGCTGGACATGGACAGGTTGAATGAGTAAACCATGATGCAGAGTGCCACTTAAGTACCTCAAAATCCTCTTGACTGCCTTCCAATGATCCTCTAAAGGATTGGATAGAAACTGACAAACTTTGTTGACAGAAAAGGAGATCTCAGGCCTAGTTAAAGTGGCATATTGCAAGGCACCAACAACTGACCTAAAGTGAGCTGGGTCTTCCACAGCAGCTGAGCCAACTTTGGATAATTTGCTGTTGGAAACCATGGGAGTGGGCATGCCATTAGCATTGAGCATATTAAGTTTGGTCAGTAGATCAGAGATGTACTTGGTTTGAGATAGAAGCAAAGAACCATTAGAGAGATGAGAGACTTCAAGACCTAAAAAATAATCAAGCTGTCCCAATTGTTTCAGTGAAAATTTGTTGTTGAGGTGCTTGATTAATGAGGTAATAAAGGGAGCTGAACTGCCTGTGATGATAATATCATCAACATACACCAGAATCATGACCTGAAGCTTGCCTTGATGCAGCAAAAAGAGACTAGGATCACACCTGCTAGCTTGAAAACCAAGTTGAACCAGTGCACTCTTCAATTTATCAAACCAGGCCCTAGGAGCCTGCTTTAAACCATAAATCGCCCTGTTCAATTTACACACCAGTGACTTGTCAGCTGCTTCAAAACCAGGAGGCTGCTGCATAAACACTTCCTCTTCAAGAGTGCCATTGAGGAAAGCATTATTAACATCAATTTGCTGGATTGTCCATTTGTTACTAACAACAATGGTTAAAATGATTCTGACTGTTACAGGTTTGATGACAGGTGAGAAAGTCTCTTGGAAATCACTGCCAGCCCTTTGATGGAATCCTTTAGCTACTAATCTGGCCTTGTACCTGTTTATGGAGCCATCAGGGTTTTCCTTTGTTCTGAAAACCCACTTACAACCAATAGGCTTCCTGCAATCAGGAGCTTTCACCAATGTCCAGGTCTGATTTCTCATCAGTGCCTGATACTCTTCTTGCATTGCCTGAAACCAATGAGGAGCAGCCAAGGCCTGACCAACAGAAGTGGGTGCCATGTGGGTTAAAAGGAGGGTAGGGTGAAGTCTGGGTAGAGTGATACCTCTTTTGGCTCTAGTTTGCATAAGGTGCACGTTTTGAGGGTGAATGAAAGGTAAAGATGAAGTAGGAGGGCTGAGATTAGGGCTTGAAGTAGCTGGTTCAGAAAGATTGTGAGAGGAGGAAGGAGAGATGGTACTAGTTTCAGCTGGATCAATGAGGATTAGAGCAGGAGAGATAGAAGGAGAGGAGGGAGCAGGAATGGCAGTGAGAGGATGAGGAACAGGAGTGACCATCTGCTGACTGGCAGAAGTAGAAGATTCAGGAGAAGAACCAGAAGTATTAGAAGGAGGAGAACAAGGAGTGGGATTGTGACTGCCAGCATGATTGGAAGGAGAATTGGAAGATAAGGACTGAGAAATGGAAGATGAAGACTGACTGGCAGCAGAGGGAATGGAAAGAGGAGGCACAGATGTAGCACTGGAAGACACTAATGAAGGAACTGAAGTTTTGGAAGAATTGGGAAATAAGGAGGAATAAGGAAACAAAGCTTCATGAAACACAACATCCTTAGAGATGTAGATATGTCCATCAGAGGAAAGACATTTGTAGCCTTTGTGAGAGGAGGAATAACCAAGAAAGATGCATTGTTGAGATCTATAGGCCAGCTTATGAGTGTTATAAGGGTGCAGGAAAGGATAACAGGCATAGCCAAAAACCTTAAGAGTGGAATAATCAGGTGGTTTGTTGAGTAATTTGTAGTAAGGGGAGGTATTATTAAGGATAGGACTGGGAATTTTGTTAATGAGATAGGCTGCAGTAACAAAGGCATGATCCCAAAACTTCAAAGGAAGAGTGGATTGAGCAAGAAGGGTGAGACCAGTCTCAACAATGTGTCTATGTTTGCGTTCAACAAGACCATTTTGGTGGTGTGTATGAGGACACGTGAACCTATGAACAATCCCTAAATTTGTGAGATACTTGGTGAGAGGCCTAAACTCTCCTCCCCCATCAGTTTGAACACACTTAATGGAACAATTAAACTGTAGTTCAACCATTTTCTTAAACTGAAGGAACTGAAGCATAGTGTCAGACTTGAGTTTGAGAGGAAAGACCCAAACAAACTTAGAAAAAGCATCTACACAAGTTAGGAAGTAAGTGTAGCCACTTGAAGATTGCATAGGGGCTGGACCCCAGAGATCACACACCACTAATTCAAAGGGATGTGTGTAGACTGTGGTAGACAAGGATGATGGCAATCTGTGAGACTTGCCAATACAGCAAGCATGACACATTTATGTGGGTGGTTTAGAGGGAATAGCCAGTTTACAGAGTTTGAAAATTTCAACAAGAGCATGGTGATTAGGGTGGCCTAATCTGGTATGCCACAGAACATATTTATTAGTTGCTATAGCAGCTGAGCTATTAGAGTGAGATAAGGGTAAATCAGTGCTAACAGTGGCAGAATTAAGAGAAGAATTGAGGAAAGTACTTGTAGTATTATTATTGAAGGATTCATTACATGGAAGTGTAAGATTTGACATACAATGGGGAGTATTACAACTGCTTATAGCAGGGGAACAAAATAAACTACTGTTAGAGCTACAAGTATGAAGACTGGGACAAGACTTGGACAATGGAGATGCAGAAGGATTAGGAAATTTATAGAGGCCATCATCTCCAACACGACCACTGAGCAACACTTCAGAAGTAGCCTGAGATTTGACAACACAAAATGTAGGATGAAATTCAAAAAACACATTATTATCTTGAGCAAATTTGCTCACACTCATGAGATTTTTGGTAATTTGAGGGACATGTAAGAGATTACTAAGAATGAGAGATAGGTGAGGTTTGTGTGGTAAAGAAAAGGACATAGAACCAACATAATTGATGGACTAACCTTGGCCGTTTCCTATGAAGACTTGCTCAGATCCAGGCACAGAAGCAGAGTCAGACACATTAGAGGCCTCAGGAGTAACATGATGAGAAGCTTGTGGTGCTTGTGGTGCAGAGGATCTTGGAGGTGCAGCCCTGGGTGAAGCATATGCAAACTGCACAGGGTATATAGCACGTGGAGCCACAAGGAATGGATTGAATGGAGCTCTCTGCTGAGAATAACCAGCACCACTGGAATTGGAGTAACGATAATAGCATACTGAAGCATCATGACCAGATTTGTGACAAATCTGACATGACTGTTTGCCAAAACGGCCTCCACCACGACCAAAACGACCGCCTCCACGACCAGAACGACCTCCACGTGAGCCATAGGTATGATTCTCAGCATTAGCAGTGACATGACTTGTTCCTTGAGGAAACGCTTCAGTAGCAACTTGATCAGCGGCGACTGGCGCAGGGGACGATGCTGCCTGAGTGAGATTCACCGTCGCTGGCTCCGCAACCGCAGCTTTGCGATGTTTCTCAAGACGCGACTCGTGAGCAAGCAAGGACGACTCCAGTTCATCCAAAGAGCTCAATTCATCTTTACTGTTGACGGAGGCAACGATAGAATCGTATTCCTCAGGAAGTGAATCAAACACGATTTCAATTAGGTTACGAAGAGGAACAGGATCCCCAATCGAAACTAGCGATTCACTAATCTCACGAGTGCGCTTCATAAGCTCCTCAATCGTGAGCGTTCCCTTCGTGAGACGGCGAAGCTCAGACCGTAACTGACGTGCTTTGGTAGAGAGAAGTGTGTCGAAGTAACGGTGGATCTCCGTCCAAACTTGCCACGCGTGTTTACACTCAACAAGTTTGGGAAGAAGAGAATCGGAGATGGTAGAAAGAAGCCAGGTACAGATGAGAGCGTCTTGTTGCTCCCATTCCAGAAAGGCACTGTGAGATGCAGGATCTGAAGGAGATGGTGACGGAATCACCGGAACAGTAACGAACCGTTGAAGGCGGTGACCACGCACGACGCCATCAATCTGTTGCTTCCATTGTTTAAAATTTTTGTCGTCAAGTTTAACAGAAATCAGGTGAGAAAGTTTCACCTGAGAAGAAGGAAAAAGAGACTCCATGGATCGGAAAAAAAAAACGCTCAAGATAAGATACCATGATAGACTTTGTTAATGTAGAGAGAATAGAAGGAATGAAAGAAATTCTCATTGTACTTTTTGTATTTTAGAAAGATACAAAGAGCTTGCTATATATAGTGGAGCAAGTCTAACAAACTGTGACAAACAAGCTGCCAGCTCAGCAATAATAGAACACACACATATTCCACTACTCTATCCACTACTGAAATAGTCACACTTATTTCACTACATTATACCACTACTCTATTATAGAGTTATCATTCATAATTTTACCAACTATCACAAAATCATAACAAAGTCACTTAATTACTTTGTATTTTTTATTCCATTTCAAAAGTCTGTAGAATTTAATATTCTCAAAACAGTATCATAATCTTGTGCACAGATTAATTCTTTTTTATTGAATGGAAGACAAGAAAAGATGGAGAAAAAAATCGCATGAGGGTAATAATTAGCATGAACTTTTTTGTATTTGATTGTAATGTATTACTATTGAATTGTATGTATCTATACAAATTGATAAGGCAAAAAAAAAAAATTCCTCAGCAGATCCATAAAACTTGGATGCTTTGGAAAGAAAATAAAGACCCAACAAACTATTGAGTCATGATGTTCAAAAGAGAAACTCTAGCTTTAACCAAACGCCTAAACACACTCTCCAAACCATTCTCTATCCTTTCAACAGCATTCTCCAAATCCTCCAATCTTTCACGTGTAGCCTGCATCTTTGTAACATCAGAACCTTCTCTTAAAAGGGTTCTTAAAGATACTTCTACACACTGCAGTTCATTGAAATTCTCCGAACTCTCTTCACATGACACTTCCTTTTTATGCATCAACTTTGCCACTTTCAACCATTTAGTTGCCTTTGACTTTGATGCATGTCCAACCAAGAAAGACAAAATGGATTGGAAGAGAGACATGTTTATTACGATGACCTCTCTAAGTACTTTTATCACTGCAACAACATCTTGACCTTGATTTAAAAGTGAGGCAGCTCCAAATTTACATTCCATATGTTTTAAAGATGAGATCAGTTTTGTGACATTCTTCTTCATCTTCTTTGTGAATAATTTATATTCGTATACGCTTGTTTCAATGCTTGAATCTCCTTTTCTCCTTCTAAGAGAAGATTGAAGTGATTGAACATTTTCTTTAATTTCTAACATGGTATCTCTTGTGATCCCACAAATATCCAATATTTTAATTGAACCATCCAACAACTCTTCCACGAATTTCTCACCTTGATGATGAGAAATGACCTTTTGTGTTGATGTCGTATTGAGAAGAACTTCCAAAGAAATATACAGATCTTCAAGCATGGAAAGACCATTGCTAATTGAATCAGATGTGGATGTTGAAGCGGTTTCCCATGTCTTGATTTTGTTGAGTTCTTGTTCAATTCTTGTAGAGCTTGGATGAGATTGAGAAGGAAAACTATTTGAGCGAACATGGTACTTGCTTGCCATCTTAATTGCTTATTAATTTGTTTTTTTTCTTCTCCTTTTCTAAGACAATGTAAAACTCAATGGTTGTGTGATGTTACCAAGTGATCAAAACTCTCTTTATATAAGAGCTACTGGTGATATTGTTTGATAATTATTAATTTCATATAATAAAGAAATAAAATAGGTAGTAGTTGTTAATCATGGTGTAGAGCATGCAGGATTTCCCTTTGAATATGGTAAGCTTGTCATAGGTCAACCCAACATTGTGAATTTGTTAATGATACTGCATGTTATATTCTGCAAAGATGGTTTGAGGTGCATGATGAATATAGCTGGCATGTCTTCCTAGTGTTTGCTATTAGAAAACATCATCAGTCATCATTCAATTTGCTTCCTTTGCTGACACGTAACACTCATAATTGCAATTATAAAAATTGGTGCTGCTTATTGCTTCTGAGATGACATGCCACTCGTGCATACAATACCAATTAATCCATTATTTTGTAATAGTAAATGTACATTGTAGTAAAGTAAAAGTAATGTATCAGAAAATTATAGTAGCATCTTTTGATCAGAATGGTAATGGATAGTGTATTTACTATAGGAACTTGGTTAATAAAACTAGAACCTACCTTTTGAACATGACTCAAGAATGCGTGCACTGAATATTTTATGCAGGAGGTTCATGATTTGATTCCTGCTATTAAAATTTCTCTTCCCCCTGACAAATTATTAACAGTCGGAGGGGCCACGTAGACCCCCACTGCAGCCAATTATAATGTAGGTTGTTCTACTTGAGAACACCTTAGGCAGGCACCCCTCCAGAGTGCAATGGAGGTCACCATCCTAGACCATGGACTTTCATTATGATGTCGAACTTATATAACATGAGACAGATCATTATAGTGTATATGACCAAACATAATTGTGGAATACAATAATTGTGGAACCTGTGCTTGAAAGGCTGTGAAAAATTAGCTGATTCTGTATTTGCATATGCTTGTGGAATGTGGATATAATTTGTAAAAGGTTCCATGTCCTTCTCAAAAGCTCTTGTAGAAACCAGTTAATGAATGCATGAAGCATTTTGCTCCGAGCTCTGCTACTGCTTGTTCTGTGCGTATGTTGTCCTTTAGTTTCTTGGTTTGGATTATGGAGGTTACAAATTACCTAATGTTCTAAATAGTTTAGTCATAGTGGTCGTATAACTGTAATCAATAGAACATTGGTTTTTGAATTTTGATGGTTTTGCTATGTTGAAATGAGGATATGAGCTTTACACACCATCAATAGTATCAAAGGAATATAGAACAAAAATGTGTTGTTTCTATTTGATTGTATTGCTATTGTATACATGATATATCTTTATACAAATTGACTTTACAAAAAATTTCAATCCTTAGGTGATCCTAAGATAAAGTCATGATGTTCAAAAGACTAACTCTGGTTTTAATCAAACGCCTAAATATACTCTCCAAACCATTTTCTACCCTTTCAATTGCGTTCTCCAAAGCTTCCAATCTTTCATGTGCATCCTGCATCTTTGAAACATTAGAACCTTCACTTGAAAGGGTTCTCAACGATGCTTCTACACACTCCAATTCATTGAAATTCTCCATATTCTCTTCACATGATACTACCCTCTGGTGCATCAATTTAGCCACTTTAAACCATTTGTTTGCCTTTGACTTTGATGCAGAGACAGCCAAGAAAGATAAAAGTGATTGAAAGATGGACATGTTCATTACTATGACCTCTCTAAGAACTCTTACAACAACAGCGAAGTCTTGATCTTGATTCAAAAGCGAGGAAACTCCAAATTTACTCTCCATATGTTTTAAAGATGTGATCAACTTTGTGACATTCTTCTTCATCTTTTTTGTGAAGAATTTATATTCGGCTACACTTGTTTCAATGATTGAATCTCCTTTTCTTCTTCTTCTAAGAGAAGACTGAAGTGATTGAACATTTTCCTTAATTTGTAACACGGTGTCCCTTGCGATGCCACATACATCCAAAATTTTCACTGAACCATCCAACAACTCTTCCACGTATTTCTCACCTTGACGGAGAGAAATAGCCTTTTGTGTTGATGTTATATTGAGAAGATCTTCCAATGAAATATATAAATCTTCAAGCAAAGAAAGGCCAGTGGTAACTGAATCGGATGTAGACGTTGATGTGGCTCCCCAAGTCTTTATTTTGTTTATCTCTTGTTCTAATCTAATGGTGCTTGGATGAGATTGGGAAGGAAAACTATTGGAACGAACATGGTACTTGTTTGCCATCTCTCTCTTTAGTTTGTTGTTTCTTCTAATAATTGTAAAGCTCAATGTTTGTGTGATGTTACCAAGTGCTTGACTCTCTCTTTATATAAGAGCTATTCATGATTTTGGATAATGATTAATTTCATGTATATAATAATGAAATAAAACAGGTAGCATTTGTTAATCATGAGGTATGGAGCATGTGGTGCCTGCATGAGTTTCCCTTCGAATATGGTAAGCTTGTTACACGTTTGTTTAACATTGTGAATTTCTTAATGGTATTGCATGTGATATTCTGCAAGATTGTTATGATATTGAAAATTGAAATTTGTTTGAGGTTCATGATGAATATAGTTGGCATGTCTTTCTAGTGTCGACGATCAGCAAACCTGATTTGTCATCTATTAGTTTGTCTTCCTTGCTTCCACATTACACTCATCATTTCAATTTTAATTATAAATTTTGTTGATGCTTAATGCTTCTCACATAACATGGCACTCATGCATACACAACCAATTTGTCCCTTATTTTACTCTAGCAAATGTAAGTTGTTATTAAATTATTGCTTTTGTTGTCTATACATGCTCTAAATCAAAAACAACACTCTTTGTTTCATATTAGAAACAAATTGACTAATGAGGTTTTCTGTTTTCCAACACTCTCAGGACATTCCAGGGTATGTACACTTCAAATCCATTTCATTACCATGATGGCCTATCAATTAAATACACAATGTTTGGCACAAATGCAACAAGTTTACCATATTTGAAGGAAAATGTGTATTCCATTTAAGAGCACATGCTGCTTTATAAATAATATGAGAAAAATTATCTTCTGAGCTCCAAAATCCGTAGGACAAAAACTAGGAAGTGTTTTAAGAAGCAAACTCCTTAACATTTTGATTATTTTTTATTTATGATTAAATCTTTAGTTTTCCAATTTTTTCCAACAGTGTTTTTGCATTATGTAGTTGTAAAATAGCCCAGCCACAAATCAGTAATCTTCAATTCCCACAATCCTCTGGTTTTCTCCTCCACTACTTTTTCCAGATTAAAAACTTCACTTGAAACAAAATAAAAATAGCAAAGTTATACATATAAATAATTGTTCTAAAAAAACAGGATAAAGGAAAAATGAGGAGAAGATAGAACAAAATATTTCATATGTTCACTTATGAACTTCCAGAACTGCAAAATGGTTATACACAATTTATCTATTTGGATCCAGACAGGTAGTCCTAATTATCATCATGGCCACTGTTGTCAATCTCAGATCACGGAAAAATAGTAGTTTGATTAAATTATGCTACACAACAGTGCAATAATTGTTAAATTGTAATTCATAGTGTGTGTCGAAGAATACACAAATTAGATTTGTTTTAGATTTAAATAGATTTGATTTAGATATAAAATAGATAGATTTGATTTAGTACCAAAATAAGTATTTTGAGCTTTTATAGTTTTAGGCTTTTGAGCTAACCAAAATCTATAAATAGAGAGTAACCCCTAAGTTTGTAATTAAGTCAATTAAGTCATTCACAGTATTTTACAGTTGCAAAGTGAATAACAAAATTTTCCACAGTTTGTGAGCAGAGAGAAATTCTGCAGAAAATAATTGTCTTCTTTTCTTTCTCATAATTCATTGTTATTGTACAGAAATCCATCATAAATATTTGATGGGTTTTCAACATATGGTATCAGAGTTCGGTTTCGATTCAAGGGAAGTATCGATCAAGAACGATTGAGAAAGAAAAAGAATTCACGATGGCAAATTATGGGAATGCAAATTATCCAGCAATTCTACCAATTATGAAAGTAGACAACTATAAGAATTTGTGCAAACAAATGAAAGTTTTATTCAGGTGTCAAGGTCTTTGGGATTTTGTAAAAGATGGATTCGAAGCGCTTGGAGAAAACGCTTCAGAAGAAGAAAAGAAGAAACACACAGAAATTGAGAAGCTGAGTTATAAAGCACTCTTTATAATTCATTAATGTGTGAGTCCAGAAAATTTTGAAAAAGTGAGTGATTCAGAATCTGCAAAAAAAGCTTGGGATGTTCTTGAGAAGTCCTTTGGTAGTGCAGAGAATGTGAAAAAAGTGAGGTTACAAACTCACAAGAGAACGTATGAATTGCTTCAGATGGAAGATAGTGAAAGCATATCTGATTTCTTCACTAGAGTTACAAAACTAGTGAATCAAATCAAGGCATGTGGAGAAACATTAACAACAAGAGTTGTTGTTTCGAAGATCTTGAGATCTTTGACTCCTAAGTTCGACCACGTGGTGGTGGCTATAGAAGAGGGGAAAGACTTGTCGAAATTGACAAAGGATGAGCTTTAAAGGACGCTTGAATCTCATGAACAAAGAATGAATGAATAAGCTGCAGGCAAGTCGAATAGTGGTGTGGCTTTGCAGGCGCATTCAACAAAAGAAATCAAAGGCAAAGGAAAATGGTTCGACAGAGGTAGAGGCAGTACAACAAATCGAATGGTAGAGGAAACCAGAACGAAGGAAACATGTTGAATCAAAGAAGACCATACCAAGGTAACCAAAGAGGTGGTGTTGCAAATAGAGGAAGAGGTGGTGGTCAAAAACCTGATAAAAGTCACATTTAATGTTACAATTGTCAGAAGTATGGTCACTATTCGAGTGATTGTCCAAAAAAGCGAAAGAATCAAGAAAGTGATGCAAAGTTTGCAAAACATGAAGAAGAAGAAGAAGAGATGATGTTGATGGTCACAACAAGAGATGAAGATAGATTCAAAGACCAATGGTATTTGGATTCAGGATGCTCATCACATATGTCTGGAAGAAAAGACTGGTTTGTCAACATAAAGCCCTCAATGAAAAATATGGTAAAATTTGCAAATGACAATACCCTAGCAGCTGAAGGTATTGGTGATGTTATGATTATGAGGAAAGATGGCAAGAGGTCAGTAATATTCAATGTGTTATACATACTAGGCATGAAGAGCAATTTGCTCAGTATAGAGCAGTTGGTCAAAAAGAATTATAAAATGTCGATCGAAGATAAGATAATGAGAGTCGTCGACATAAATGGAAGATTGATCTTGAAGGATCCTATGTCTCAAAATAGAACCTTCAAGATTGAACTAAATGTGATGGAGCACAAGTTCCTTTCAACTGCAACTAGCAGAGATGAATGGATATGACATTATCGACTAGGTCATTTCAACTTCAGAGACATCAGATATTTGAAGAGAAGAAATATGGTTTCAGGATTGTCAGAAATTGACATTCCAAACGAGGTATGTGAGTGTGATACGGTGGGAGAACTGACTAGTGTTTTGCGTTTGTGTTCGTAAATGTTTCGGTTGAGCAAGAGTCGCCACCGACTTTTAATTTTATCCTAAGGAAAGGTTTAAAAAGCACAGCAAAAACCTTTGAGATTTTTCTTGGGTTCGGGGAGTAGATTATAGAAGGGGAAGGTATTAGTACCCCTTCTATCCATGGTTATCCATGGGCTCTTAGGTACTTGCTTAGATCAACTTGCCTTGGTTTTCAATTGTTTGAAATGGTGCTTTGTGTGTGGTTTTGAAAAGGTTTTGAAAAAGATGTCTTGTATAGGCTACCCTTGTAACAATTCTTTACTCGAATGTTTTACAAAAGGTATTTGTCTTTTTGAAAATATGTTTCAAGGGTTTGAAAAGTTGATTTTGAAAGTGTTTGTGAAGTGGATTTTGAAATTAGGCAAGTGTTTTCTTTGCAAATTGACAAGTACTTAAGAGTTTATCTACCTTAAAGTTTTCTCAAAGATTTTTGTTATGTTTTAAGCCTTTTGACAATTTTGTTCCACCATTGTATTTGGTGGACAATCTTATCTTTAGGAGGTGAAAGGGACGGGCGCGGGTCATCGTTTGGACCATAATTGCAATAGTGTTAAATGTCTTTGGGCAATTTTCTTTAAGGGACTTGATCATCTGTTTAGGCAACATTTTGAGGGACTTATGATCATTTGATTGTTTGTTTTACCCAAAGAAGTTCAACATGCAATATGGCCCATTTTTGAAAGGCAACAAAGTGGAATACCCTATGGGGTGCAAGTGTGAGATGTGTTGTTTATTTTCATGCTCATTTATCTTGTATTAGGTCCAACTATTTTTGTTCATTTTTATTCGCATACAAAACCCTAATTCTAGCATAGTATGTTAGAAAGCGATAAAGGTGCGAAATTTAAATTCCTACGCTATTACATCACAATAATATAGGGAGGGGGGTACAATGTTCAAATGGGGGATATTTAGACAAGAATTTAAATCTAAACTATTACATCATTTGCTTTGAATATTTACAAGGTAATTTAATTGCATAATTAAATAGAAATGAGATAAATATGCAAAATGCAAAAAGAAAGTTTTTATATGTACGAGAAAAATGTTGTTTATGTAAAATAAAATAAGAAAATAAAAAGGTATTATTTTTGGAGTATTTTCATATTTAGGGCAAAAACCCTAATTTTAATCAAAATGTATATTAATTAATTAATTCACATAATATTTATTATTTACATACAAAAATAAAATAAAATATGGTATATTTGTAAAAAGGCATTTTTTAGTATTAAATATTAAAAAATAAAATATGTACATTATTTGATATTTTATTCTATGTATATTAATAAATATGTATTTATATTTACATTATTTTAAATATGTATTATGGATAAATAATAATAATATTTAATATTTTTAGAAAATAGTATTTTTTATATAAAATATTTTCAGAGGGTAATATAAAATAAAAATGAAAATGAAAATGTATTTACACTATTTTTTCTATTTATTCTAAATAATAATATATATTCATTTATGTATAAATCAAAAGAAAATCAAATAAATACCAAATAAAATCAAAAAATGATGAGAAAAATATTTTCAAAATTTTAATATGCTGAGAAAAAATAAATGAATCAAATAAGAAAAGAAAATGTCAAAAATCATTAAAAATAAAGCAAATGGGCTTGGGGGGTATGAACATGGAAATAGGGTGTGAAAAGAAAAT